CAATTATTGTCTGTACACAAACGGGATTAAATGTATGATAATTAATTATAATTTGAAATTGAATGTTATGTTGTGTATACGTAACATGTATCCAACTCTGCTTCTGTATACACAATCAATGGATACAAAATATACCCGATACATAATACTAGGCCCGTTTCTTAATCGGGAATTATACAACTAATGATTGTAATTTTGAACTTAGTGAAAAGAAAAGGGAAAAAAAAAGAAACTAATTGAGTTAGAAGAATTAATTTATCCTATAAAGGCAACAAATATCAACTAGTGAAGAATATATACAAGATTCTTCTTTTTTTTTTCCTTCTAGTTTTCAAAGGTGAAGTCCCTTGAGTTAGTGTTTGTTGCTGATTTTGAACCAATCCAACAATTGAGAAGCAGACCAATGCTACTGTTGGCAACATATAAGTCTTTTACAATAATTGGGCAAACCACAGCATAAATAGCCAAATCAAATCAAGGGACGTTGATTTGATTATTTGGTTGTACCAAACAAAAGAAAAAATAATTAAATTAGTTGAGTATTTATGATTGATGAGATGGCGATGCCATAACTTAAGAATTATGTCCTCCCAATAAATCTCCACCACTTTTTTTTTTTTTTTTGGTTGTATTATCGCAAAGAAATAACATTCAAATCAAACTGAAAATGGCATTTTCATAAACTCAACATCTTCTTAAAAGAAACCCCACATCGTTGAAAAGGGAAGAAGGAGCTGCATGAAAAAGAAAGAAAAAAGAGGAGGGTCCGAATTCATTAAAAAGTCTTCTTCACCTTGAATTTGCCAACCACTTTGTTCCACCGACTGTATAATACTTACTCCAGTTGAAACTCAATCCCCCTAAGGTTTGGCTCAGCAAAAAGACAATGGAATATGGTTGAATATCGTCAATTTCACACTCATTTTGCTCTGTCACGCATTTCTTGGCAGCAATACGTGTCTCCTAATGAATCAAACCTTCGTTCTATTCTAATAGTCGGCAGAATCAGCCATGTGAGCTTCTGTGCACCTTCCATTCATTAGTACTATTTCCATGTACTTTTTTGTTTTTTTTTTCAAACTTGGTACTTTCAGGTACTAGTACTGCAAAGATTACAAAATACTTATAAAAGATCTCCAGAAGAAACTGCCAATATGGAAAACAGAAAGAGGGTAAATCCCATAATGCTATCAGCATGGCAGATCATGCCATATTACTTTGCACGTAATCACTGTATAGGCTCTGCATATGAAGCATTTGACGGTTGAAGCTTTTGATGGTAATTAATTGGTCCAAATTTAGTTACTATATTCTTGCTTTGTAGTTGTTGTGGTTCATTTATTTACTCTTTTTTACCGAAGCTGAGGAAATTCAGACTTTTGTGTTTATAAACCCTGAATCCCCGAACAATCTTCAAAAGCCGGCAACTTTTGAAGACGTTCAGGGGACTTATATACACTAAATCCGCTGCTAAGAAGTAAAGACCCCCCAATCCCCCTGAGAATGAGTTTTCTGTCTTTTTTACCAAAGCTGAGGAAACTCAGACTTTTGTGTTTATAAACCCTGAATTCCCGAACAATCTTCAAAAGCCGGCAATTTTTGAAGACGTCCAGGGGACTTATATACACTAAATCCAACCCCCCCCCCCCCTTTCCGATGTGGGATAGAAAACCCCACAAGGGGTTCATTTATTTACTCAGTTCACCCGAAGTTTGTGGATTCTTTAGTTGACTCGTGAGTAGCCATGAGTAGTAGATTTTGGCGTTTGATTGTGACAGTTATTCTTGATGCAGCTAGTTGGCAAGATCGTTTACTCTTGACAATTAAATGGATGGCCTTTCCAGGATGTGTAAGAAATTAAGAAAATTGTTACGCAGAATCCATGCGTCGTTGTTCTCTGTTGATTTTTTGGAGAAAAGCAAGATAATCTTTGAGAAAGGCGTGCACATAAAGTATCATTCAGTCCACTTTATTGAGCCTCAATCAATTTTTCATAATTTCAGCTGTTTTACTATGGCTCAGTTCAAAATTGGTAGCAATCACGCTTATTTTCAACCAAACAAAAAACTAAAGGGTGATTGTATATAGCTTATGCTAAATATTACTCTTTGTTTTCTTCCCCTTTTTGTTTTTGGGTTAGAGTAGGAGTGCTACCGGATCAAGCCGCTCTTGTCCAACACCCGGTAAATATTCGGTCAAAATAAGTTTGATTTTGAGCTCGGTCAAATTTAGCTGAGCTTGAACTCGAGTTCGAGTTCAATTTACTTGTGTTGAGTTTCAAGTTGAGTTTGAACTCCTTTATATGCTGCTACTCGAGTGCTTGAGGAGCCTAATTGAGTAATTCTATTATTTATATAATATATTTATTTAAATTATGAAATAATCGTTATGGGTTTATATTCTACCAAAGTTCGAGTTTTTATTCAAATACTTGACCTCGATAAGGCTCAAGTTTTATTGAGTTGAGTTCGAGTTAATATATTATCCCTGCGAGAGGAGTTAAGCTACAAGTGCTCTTGATCAATTAAGTCGAGTTTGAGTTCAAGTTCAAATTTGAGTAGCCTGATCGAATTCGAGCTCAAACACAGCGCTATTCAAACTTGACTTGATTCGACTCGCCAACCCACCTAAGTTGCAGCGTTATTTGCCAATGATACATAATGTCCAATTTTTTTTTCACTATTTGGTAAATTTTAATTTCACGGCACCGACTCTAGTTACATGAGTCAAGACATGGTTTTCGAATCAGACAGATTTTTTACAGGGTAATTTACAAATTAATCATCATTAAAATTTTTACACCAGTAGTAGTAGGATTCGAATACACGGATCCGTCCAAACATGTGTTGGCGGATACATCATGGCTTACGAATGTACATAAACACTAATATGTGAAGCTCGTCTGGGGAAGATAATCTTGCACGATTGAATCATGAAAGGCAGGGCACACAAGAATAAATGATAAGGATGAAGGAAAATGGTGGAAAGCATGAATATATGTTCGGTGGAGAAAGCTGCAGTGCAAGAGTAGCTTCAAGTGGTTCCATATCTGCATTATGTATTTGTGGCTCATGAATATGAAGACCCTTCCGGTCTAAGCAGCCTGCGAATTCCGTCACTACTCATTGCCCATTATCTCCTCCCCCTGTTTTTTTGGTCTCCAAGAAAAAATCAAAAAAGAATTCCATTCAATACAAGACTTCCATGTGCAAGAAATGGATTTTAAAATGACCCATTTATCTCCAACAAATTAAACACTGCTTGTGTTATTATTATTGAATTAGAAGTGGTGTAATTGTGAAACAGTTTTTTGTTTTTTTTTTTTTGACCCATGATCCCTTTTCTGCTTGCCTACAATTTTTTCATGGAAATGATTTGTTGTTGGAATCGATATATGTAAAGCTGGAAATGAGAAACCTCCAACTCCTTGAGATGAAACTCCAAAAGGCAAGTTAGAAGACACGCATCGAACAAGACCATTAAGTTTAGCTAGCTTAACATGTGTACTTGATTTGTGAGCTATTGCGGGTACTCAATAGGTTTTTGTTTATAGTAAACTGTTGGATTGTGGCTAGGTGTTCCTACCCTCAAATGTTTTATTCCAAAAGGAACAAAAAAAGACATACATGAAATCAATTGCTTAACCAACTCCCAGTACAGGAGTTGGCCACCGCATTAATTATAGGGTGGGAGGTCAAGAGTTCAAACCTTATCTTCCATCAACGTGCTTCTATATGAGAATTGTTCTAAATCCATACAAATACATGGTGCATCCCGTTTGATTTGATAATGGTTCAATTCCCGTTAAGTTCTTTCGAGTCAATTGGGCCATCCCTAGAGTAGGCTCCTCCCCGTGGGTCCTAGGTTAGACTAGGTTAGATATGCCATTATACAAAAAAATATATATATATATATTCAATTGCTTTCTTTTTTTGATAGAAATGTCGAAATTACATTACTTTCCATTAAATCCATCACTAGGCCCCGAAGCTTGGTCTGGTGGCATGGGGCTGCTGAAGATGGGAGTGTTGTCCCTGGTTCGAGCCTCGCTGCCAGTAAGTTACGGGGGGCACGGGATTAGTCTACGGGATCCACTTGTTACGGAAACCCTAAAAAAAAAATTTTTTTAAAATCCATCACTAGAAATGGCACAACAAAATCTGGAGTATCTTTTCTCCAATAGGTATGATAACAGATGAATTTTGCAATCTTAACTGAAACACGAGCAACTTTTTTGTGATTCCTACCAAACCCAAGAAATGTTAAATGCCTCTCATGCGATGCAATTAACATAGATGGATGGAGTGTTATTGAGGCCCAATCCAGGAATCTAGCAGGCGGACTAGAAAAAGTTAAGCCTTTCTTGCATTGATTTTGCAGCTGTTTGCCCATTGAAAATGAGATCTCTGTAGTGTAGTCTGATCGTTATCAAGCTGGGCAATAGAACAACCACATCCACTTCTGTGTTTTCACCATGGACTTCCTAACGTGGGATCCATAAAAATTACAGGCCCTTAAGGAGATGAGCTCCTGACGCTTTTGGAAAGCCCAATCAGGCAGCCCTCATATAGATCCTACGTTCAGCCACAAAGGTTTTGTAAGGATTGGATTAAGCCCAAAAATTCCTCCAAGTTAATTCTCTAAATAATGATATTAACGTTCTTGAGACCTTCGTCCATATCAAATAGTATGCAGCTGCAGGGACGTTACTGTAAGTGGAAAAGAAACACGCAAACGGCATTGTCTGTCCCATTGCCCCAAACCTAAAATGGTCGCCACTCACCACTGCAGCTACTGCCACAAGGACAGGGCCAGCCACCACTTGCCACTCGCACGCAAATGGAAGTTGATCTGCTCCCTCTGAACTTTTGCCTCCATATATCGTACGAACTGACTTTTCAAGAATGTTGTCTAGTACAATGTATATATATTTATGAGCTCTCAATCTGTCCTCCCTGCTCTCACACACAAATTGATATTCCTTCTACTGTTCTGTTAACATGAGATGGGCTCCTCCTTCTCCACCACCAGATCTTCAATCTTCAACCTCAGTTCTCTGGCCCTTGAAGCCCCTGCCTCACACCATTAATCATCCATCACAACAACTTCCATCAACCAAATCTTCCGTTTCTTTTCCACAGGTTCAAGTTTCTTAGTTTCTTGTTTTCTTCATGCGCATCATGACTTCTTTCTTTTACAGGAAAACATATATATATATATATATAGTACTTGCAACAATTTTTTAGTAATATTTTTACATACGAGCATTAGAAAAATCAAAGGTTATCGTGTACAGCAATTTGTTATGAGTCTGGTGTATCAACGCAGGTCGATGATGATGATGAACAGCAACTAATGGCGACTGGAAGCATTAAAGAAAATAAGGCCGCAGGGGTGAAGAGCAGTGCGGTTGTTGGTGCTGAGCAGAGGTTGGGTGATTTAATTAGTACTTTTCCATTTCTATTCGTTCATCCCATTTCAATGCTACAGAGGTACTATCATAATCTGGCTGTAAAAGAGTAGGAAAAACGCCTGTGTAATATCTTTGCTTTCCTTTTTCTTTCAATTTTAAAGAAGAAAGGAATCCATTATTTTAACCTATTATTCTGTGTTACATGTTACAGGAGTTATTTGAATCGCAGTGCAGAAGCAAATAATCGCTCTCTCCCTTCCTGTTTTTCACGTCGACAAGGTATTCTCGTTCATTTTTTTTTTTTTTTTTTGTATCACCCACTAAAAGTTGTTAGGACCTGCTATAAATTAGTACACCCTTTTCATGGATTTACGAAGAAATCTTACATTTTTCTTTTTCTTGGTGGTAACTAAAAGAGACCAAATAAAGGGACACTTTATTTTGCTTTTGAGAACAAAGAGCATTTTTACCTGCCACGGCACAGTCAAGCAAAATATGCATAGAAAGGCTAAAGTACATATCATTAAGCAGGAAAATGTGTCTTGGAATCAAACTGATGTTTTGCTGTGTTTTCTTGATATCCTGTATATGGTAATAATGTTTAGTTTGACGCATGCATGGGTTTTAATATAATATATAGTTATGCTTGTGAAGATTAATATTGGTCTTGTGCCACTGTAATTTGTTAGTTAGTATAGGAGGGCACTGGCTTGAAGAAGACAAGATTTTCCCCTTGAAGAAGAGAAGAATTCTGGATATAATGGACTGTGTGCCAAGCAGCGGCACTGGTACAGTTTTCCAAAGAGAACTGAAGAATGGTGGGAATACAAGAGCAAGCGGAAAACGCACAGAAAAGAAATGGGCTGACCATGTTACGGATTATGAACATGGTGATGATCTTGAATGGATTGGAGGGGCAAACGGAACCAGAATATTGGCAGCTGGGAACATGAAGAGCAGTAGTACAAGAGGCAGCAGCCAGAGGTGTCGGCGCGAAAACGGGCACGGATGGAGGTGTCCTCAGCCAAGTCTTGCCGGTTATTATGTGTGCGAGCATCACTGGGAATTAAACAAGAGTAGGGAAACCAAGAAGAAGAAGAAGAAGAAGAAGAAGGAGAAGATTATTGCACGTAAATTTGCTGATCATCATGATCAGCCCACATATGCAAACAAATTCACTGTGTTGTTTAGGGGTACAAGATCTTGTTCTTCAGATACTGAAGACTCTGACGATGATCATGTTCTCCCAAAGAAGAGGATTGGAGTTGTCAAGGATCGATCAATCAGTAGTTTGCTTAGTAGTTGATGCGTGATTCTATCATAATTTTGCACACGGATTAGTTATGCAATGCCTAGTTGTATTTTGACTAGCTATTAGCAGTTCGTGAGAAAAGTGAGTACGATGTTACAAGGAGCAATTTTTATAAACTTTTAGAAATGAATTTGTTGACGACAAACTCCATGATATAAAACAAGTCTGTGAAAACTGCAGCAGCCCTTCCAGGCTTCAAGAATTGATTGCTACTCGGTTAAACTCAACTTCGATAGCCATTATTCAAAAGGTACATAAATTTTAGCACAGGAAAACAGAAAGTGAACCAATTTAACTCAATTCCTGACAAGATTATTTTTTTCCCCAAAACTTGCTGCTCTGATCTATTTTCTTGAGCTTTTTTTTTTTTTTGGCCAGACTAGACTAGCACTAGACTCCATATCTTTTAGTAAGACTATATACAACCATATTGTATACATGAGCTGTATCACAAAATTGATCATGTTCTCTGATGCAAGTCTGCAGTGCAAAAATACGCGAATCAGCAATATATGTGCAACGGATCACCCCACTGCAGCAACACTAGTAGGCCATAAACCATAACTGTTCTGACTCTTCAGGTTTAGAAACCAAAATCCACAAAAAGCCAAGAATCAGCTATCACCTGCATATATTGTATCTCCATCTCCTCTCTCTCCTGTTCACGTCCCTTCTCTCACATGAATATTCCTCCTGTTGATCTGTTTTCTTGCTTGCTTCATCATCATTTGCGTGCCCAGCCCACATCCTTTCTTGACCTACCTACACAGCCATCACTCACCCCATTATTTCTAGTATTTTAGACTCCAAGACCTGAATCCAAAACTATCCCACAACAAGAAATTCTTCCATTTCCTTCCTTGATAGAAAGAGAAGTGTTGAAATCTAAGAAAAACAAAAGAATGGCCTCTTCTCCTCCACCACCACCAGCAGATCTTCCAGCTTCTGCGTCAACTCTCCACCCACTACTACAACAAAGACCTGAATCGCCTCCTACCCATCACCCATCACTTCTTCTATCAACCGAATCTTCCATTTCTTCTCAACAGGTTTCTAGTTAACAGTACTTACTTGGTAGTAATTTTCTTTTACAAAAATTTCTAGATATCATCACTGGGTTCATTAATCTTTTATAATATTACTACCTAACAGAGAAAAATTATATCGGAACATGTGCATGATTATGTTGTTAATTACTATCAATTGAATCTAGCCCACCAAATATAACTAGTACTCTATTACTACACGCTTCAATGCTTTATAGTTCTACCAGAATTTTCTTTTGTTACACGATCAGATAAGTTGAACCCAGAGGAAAATTTTCCATTTTATTAAGAAATTATGTGCAAAAAAGGGAAAAATCCACACAAAAAGATGGTTCTCCCTTCAGTCATTGTCGTGCCGTGATAGTGTAGTACTGTTTATTTGTACTGCAGGGTGGCGGTGCTGCAGTAGATAAGCATGCAGTAATGGAGCATATCAGACAGATTCCTTCTACTAAATGGGGGTAAATTAGAAAGCAATGGACTAGTGACATTTTTATTCTGCTGATAATGTAGTAGTTGATATTGGGTGCAATTACAGACTAGTGAAAGAAAAAAACAAAATGTGCCCACAGCAGATTTCTCTCTTTTTTTTTCATGTTTTTTGCGCGAAATGTGCAGGAATTATTGCAGCCCCGGATCAGCTGATAGCTATATTTGCCAAGAAGGTAAACATGCTTTCTTCTTTAGAGCAACAAAATGTTTTAAGCTTTTATGCTTTAACAAAATGTTTGTAATTTGCCTAAAAAAAATGTTTGCAATTTACTGTTTAAGAGGGGCTCAAAGAGGAAATATCTTCTTATGAATTAAGAACGTAGTTTGATAAGCAAAATTTTCATTTTTACATGGTGAGGCTATTGTATACCTTAACCATATTGATGTCAATTGCCGTTTTCTTGTACAGTATTGTGTATGCATAATCTTAATTAATGTTCTCTCATGCATGCATGAGATTAATTTCATTGTTCTACGTGGGAAGTTTTTTTTTTTTTTTTTAATTAATTTTCATGTTGGAAGATTCTTGAGATAATATAGTACTAGTACCTATTAATTGTTGATTAATTGCATGTGTATAATGTATATGAAGGAGGAAATTGGCTGGAAGAAGATAAAATCTTCCCTTTTAAGAAGAGGAGAATACTGCTGAGCTTAGATAGTGCACCAAGCACTTCCTCTCCAACAGTATCGCAAGGAGGACTGATGTATATTGAGAATGCAAGAACAGGCAGAAAACGCAGAGTTACATCGAGGGATGACCATGTTCTCTATCAAGATAATGATCTAAAGGGGTCTCCTGAGACGATCAATTATCCAACTGCAGAGGATAAGGATATAGCAGGGGACGAAAGCATGATTAATATCATTACCAGCATAAGATGCACTCGCACAAATGGGCAAGGATGGAGGTGCAAACAGCCGAGTTTGGCTGGTAATACCTTCTGTGATCATCAGTGGACTTCAGCCAGGAATGGTAGGAGAAAGGAGAGGAAGAAGAAAAAGGACAGTAATCCACGTAAATTAGCTTCATCAAAGGTTAAAGTTGTACCAATCAGCAGCTGTTCAGAACTGATGCAAAGAGAGCAGACCAGTGCTGGCAGTGCAAGGAAAACAGGAAAATGTTTTTGGCAGTGCATAAGCAATGTTGACCGTGTTTTTGACAAGACTGATGATTTTGAAGTAGTTTCAAATGTGATGGACAGAATCCCAGCTGCAAAAGAGATCAAAATGGAAGAGAAAAACATGGATAATATTGCTACCACAAGATGCACTCCGACAGATGGAAAAAGACGGAGGTGTTCCCAGCCAAGTTTTGGAGGTTGTTCACTTTGTAAGCTTCACTTGACCACTAAGAGAAAGGTGAACAAGAAGAAGAAGAACGACAATGACAGCGTTCCACATAAAGTAGCTTCATCAAAAGTCAAGATTTCACCAAGCCACCCAACAGCATTGGTTCATACAGAAACCATGACTATTGGGAATGCAAGACAGAGCAATAACCGCACAAACAAAAAATGGGGTGACCATGTTCTCCACGAAGATAATTTTGAAGGGGTTTCTGCATGTGTTGCAGAAAAGATCAAAATGGAGGAGGAAACAATTGATAATAGTACAAACACAAGATGCGCCCGAGCAAGTGGAAAAGGATGGAGGTGTTCTCAGCGGAGGTTTGCTGGTTCTTCACTGTGCGAGCATCATTGGACTGCTATGAGAAATAGGAGGAAGGGCAGCAAGAAGATGATTACTATTCCACGTAAAGCGGCAGGCCCAGAGGTTAAGATTGCACTCAACAGCCCAGCAAAATTGTCGCAGAGGAAGACCATGAACATTGGGAGTGCAAGAAGAAGCAGAAAATACTCAAACGAAGTAAGAGGTGACCATGTTCTGTGCAAAGACGATAACGATTCTGAAGGGATTGCAGATTTGATGATGAACAGTACTCCAGCTGCAAAAGAGATCAAGACGGAAGAAAAAACAATGGATGACATTACTAATCCAAGATGCAGTCGCTCAAATGGAAAGGGATGGAGGTGTTCTCAACCATGTTCTGCTGGTTATCGTTTGTGCGAACATCATTGGGCTGCTAGAAAGAATACTAGAGGGAGAAAATGAAAAAGAGTTTCACAGGTAAAGAAGCTGAACCAGCATTCACAACGGAATTCACTGCCTTGGCTACGGGGGATATTAAAGATTGAGATGTGGTTCCCACTTCCCAAGAGGAGAATTGCAGCTTTTAAGGCTCGATCACTAAGCAGTTTGCTTCGTTGATGTTCTGTTACAGTCCTTAACAAATATAAAAGCCTGAAGTATAGATTATGGATTGCATTCTCCATGGAAAAATTACTGTATAACTATAACGATTTGATGTATGTGAGGGAAAAAAAATAATAGAGAAATGTGATCACGAAAAATAACGTAATTTTTTGACGGAAAACAGCAATCCAAACAAGGCTTTAGTCTTTGACAGTTACCATTAGCTTAGAATTTGCCGCCTTTTTTTTTTCTTGTTTCCTTTTATCGAGGAAAAGGTTAATTTTGGATTCAGTGAGATATTATTTGCGGACAAAGATTTTACCATGTGAAAACTGAAAACTTAGATGCTTGCATTTCTCTTGAAATTTCTATTTCCCTCGGGAGTTAGTATGGCTTCAATTAGTTACTAGTGAAGTCATGGACAAAATCCCACTAATCTAACTAATTGAAGATTCTGCATAACCTTTTGTTTCCTTAGTCACTAAGAAAACCCACAAAGAAAACTCCCTCAAAATGGAGATATGTAGTCAAATACAATATATTCTCTCCGTTCCATTGAAAGTGCCGTACGTTCTATTTTTGGATGTCTCAAAACATTTGTTATGTTGAAAAAGTCAAAATACTTTTTAGTTTCTCTTTTCAACCCTTCTTTCTAATCATATGCATGTTACTATTCAAATTTAAAATTTGAATTTGTGGAGATAAAATTGAAAAAGAAAGTACAAATATCACAATCAAACCATTATTTTTAAAAAGTTGTATTCCCCAAATATGACTAAATAATTGGGACAGAGAGAGTAATTGCTATTATTGTAGAAACAAGAGGAGAAATAAACAGAGATCTCCTTCAATGTGTCAAAATAGAGAGAGAGGGAGGGAGGGAGAATTTTGGAACTGGTCAACCCAAGGGTTGGTCTAAAATTGATTCTTAAAATTGAGAACGTTCTAATCAAGCCAATATATATATAGTTCTAATATCGTTGAATTCTATCTCTTGAATTTTAAATAAAAATTAAGTAGTTGAATGAAAATTTAACATTAGAAGTAGGGATAGCAATAGGGACGGATGCTCGCGAATACCCAACCTGTAGGGATAGAAATGAAGCGGAGATGGGATAGGACGGGGGCAAAATATTTTTCCCCACCTTAAAACGGGGCAGGGATGGGGCAACATATCCCGCCCCGTCCCCTGTATTAAAA